AGATACAAAAATAGTCATTGTAGCCAATTTTCAATGATGAAAATTCATCAGCAACCTAACTTTCACCAGCAGGAAAATGGGTAAACTGTGGTGTTGATTGGCCATTCACCTGCAGCTTGCATGTCAAGGTGCATGAATCTATGTGGTCAGTTTTCCTGTTTCCTGCCCAGTCTGCAGCCACTCAGACCCAAGTAAACACACAGAGGCTTATATTAATTAAAACTGCTTGGCCATTAGCTCAGGCCTACTACTGACTAGCTCTTACACTTAAACTCAGTCAATTTCTGTTAATCTATATGTTGCCACATGTTCCGTGGCTTTACCTGTGTACCATTACATGCTGCTCCCTGGATGGCGGATTGGCGTCTACTGACTCAGTCTTCCTCTTCCCAGAATTCTCCTTGTCTGTTTATTCCACCTATACTTCCTGCCTGGCTACTGGCCAATCAGCGTTTTATTTATCAACCAATCAGAGCAACACATTCACAGCCTACAGAACATCCCACAGAAGATCTATAAACAGAAAACTGTCAAAAGCAGGCTGCGGAATGCTGTGCAGAGTGTTGTATTATTTTCCTTACACCGGAAAACTACCTGTGTGTTTTTTACAGATCTCTACAAATACTGTAGCAGTATAAATAACAGATCAAGATTAGTATTACTCAAAGGGATGAACATAGTCAGGGAAGTAACAGTAAGGAAGGGAACATGGATTTAATATTTCCCTTCAATTAAAAAACATCTGATTTAAGTACAGAAAAGTGTTAAGCATATCATAAAGCTATATGATAAGTATACTAATGGTCATTTTAGAATGCTCTCATTTTCTATAAGCTAGAAAAGTTTGGCCAGAATTAAGAAAATTCTAGATTCTTTCAAGTACAGTTGAGTAGGTTACCATATAGCGACAGTTTTTTTCATAATGGCCTTTGGAGATCACTAGCTCTGGGTCTGAGCAGGTGGTTTATACTCTAAAACCCTCCTATTAGCTGAAAATAAACCTTCACAGTGCTGTTGGAAGGCTGACCAGCTTAGCACGGTGCACATGGTGGAGTAGTTGGTGCTGGACCAGTCCTTCGTTCCTCTAAGACATGTGCACAGAGTCTCTGCTGTGTCCCCGACACTGCTGGGCACAGAATGGGACGTAAGGGTAAAAGCAACCTGTGTTATAGAGCTACAGCATCCTCTCTTCTCTCTCTCACTCCCCCCCCCCCCCAGTTTTCCTTCTATATTTACCCTCCCCTGTGGCCATGACACCCTGGCACTGAACTGCTTATTGCCCAATAATCCTAATGATGGATTTTAAAGGACACAGTAGCCCTTGCTAAGTCAGGGTCTTCAGGAACCCTGTACTCAGAGAATCACAGCATGATCATAGGCAGGGGCAAGAGCCACAGCATGATCATAGGGAGGGGCAAGAGCCACAGCATGATCATAGGGAGGGGCAAGAGCCACAGCATGATCATAGGCAGGGGCAAGAGCCACAGCATGATCATAGGCAGGGGCAAGAGCCACAGCATGATCATAGGCAGGGGCAAGAGCCACAGCATGATCATAGGGAGGGGCAAGAGCCACAGCATGATCATAGGCAGGGGCAAGAGCCACAGCATGATCATAGGGTGGGGCAAGAGCCACAGCATGATCATAGGCAGGGGCAAGAGCCACAGCATGATCATAGGCAGGGGCAAGAGCCACAGCATGATCATAGGGAGGGGCAAGAGCCACAGCATGATCATAGGGAGGGGCAAGAGCCACAGCATGATCATAGGGTGGGGCAAGAGCCACAGCATGATCATAGGCAGGGGCAAGAGCCACAGCATGATCATAGGCAGGAGCAAAAGCTCTACAAAGTTCCTGTTTGAAGAATGATTGAAAATTAACAGACCTAGTGGGTGTGTTGATGGTTTCTAAGGGACTGCCTGGACAAACACTACTAGGCAAGCCCATTTTTATCATCCAGGGTTTTCCATTCTAATTTATCAGTTCATGGATGTTTCATTCCATCCATGTTGACTTAGACCAGCATCCCAGCAAATAAAATAATTTCTTCATTATGAATGCTTTAAGTATTTGATGCTAAACTCTGACTTTTGTTTTACTGTAACTGGATGAATCAGCCACTGTATAATTCTTGACATCACAAGTTACCATCTATTAAGCACCTGATGTATACTTATCTCATTCTGCAGTATAAGCTTCACTGTCTTCCTTTCAGAGAACATCACATTGCCACTTAACTGTGTGGCTTTGCATGTGTCTGTGACTCTTGAGTCTCGTTTTTTTCCTTTGTAACCAACTCTGTTTATCTCATATGGCTGAGATGTAGATTATACACAATAAGCTACATTGGCTAACATAGTGGTTGCCACAGAACACTCACTCAGTGCACATCTTTGTTTTTCTTATTTAAAAGAATTAGGCAGGGTAGGTTGAAACACAGAAATCACAATGTCATCTATGCTGGGTGATTTTAGACCTTGGAGACTGTTGAGCACAGACATTGGTACATGGGACAGTCTTTAAAATGACTGTTCACTTTCCTTTTTAAGGAATTATCTACGTTCAAAATGAAGAGTTCTCCTTGAAAAGCCCAAATTTTTTCCACCTGGTACCTTTCCTAAAAACCTTGTGCTAATAAGTCTCAAAAACATCTAAGAGAAATAATTCTGTCATTGCAAATTTACTATTTCAATTCTGCTCCTGGGATTATACCAGGTTCGTCAGTAGACACCCATGAACTAAAAGACACAGTCCCTCCACGTGCACACTTAAAGGATGTGCTATAGAAAGAATGGAAGTGAGTGTCATGGTGTTGATGAACACAGAACAGAGTGAGGAGTGCCGGGGTAAGGACGGGCTGCTGAGAACCTGAAGGATCAGGCGCATGTAAAAGTGACTTAGTGTGTGCCATTTTTTATGGTGACATATGCATGGAAGTGAATAAATGGGCCTGACTGAGTATAAGGCAAAGAACAGACAGCTCTAGCCATAAGAGAGGAATAAGGGAGAGGAGCGAGGTCCTGAACACATGGTCAGAGGCCGCAGCAGATGCTGTCCACCAGATGGGGGAACACACGAGGTGGTGTGACTCACTTCCTATTTCATCTTTTCTCACCAGGGTCTTTTCACCTAATTCACCTGATGTTCGACGACTACGTGCTCTATTTGCTAGAATCTCTGCATTGCCAGGAGCGGGCCAATGAGCTCATGCGAGCCATGAAGGGTGAAGGAAGCACTGGTGAGCCAGAACTTCAGTGGGGATGTCAAAACTCAGCCATCTGACAACTCACGTCTGCTCTGTTTCCTTAATTCCACACGCCAAAGAAGTTAGCTGTGGCGAGTGGGTCAGCTGCTGAGACAGCAAACCATCCTCCTCTTCAGGGCGGGCACCTGTGTGTACGGGAGTCATTGAAGGGTTTAAGCAGGAGTGACCAGTACAACCCAGATTAGAAAACGTATTTCATTTTTGGGGGCTTCTTTAAAGGCAACTGGCCTTGACCTTGGGATCTAAGAACTTACCTTTTCTCTATTTGTAGCGGAAGTCCAGGAAGAGATCATCTTGACCGAGGCTTCCCCCCCTACCCCTTCACCAGTACCATCATTTTCTCCAGCAAAATCTGCCACCTCTGTGGAGGTGCCACCTCCATCCTCCCCCGCCAGCAACCCATCCCCTGAGTACACTGGCCTCAGCACAACAGGTAAGGGGGCTCCCGAAGTGCTGGGGGGGAGCAGATGTTGAAAGCAAGAGGTTTCTGGAAAACAGTCTTCCTCAAAAGATAAAGAGAAATGCCAAGACTCGGGAATCTTGGAGTTGTGGAAGGCTTACGGGTCTCAAATTACTCATTAGTACATCTTCCATATGTTGCTGCTTTCAGTTGGCAGATTAAACACATGATAAATCTCTATTCCCCCAATGTAAGCCACTGAAATTATTAAAATGTTAAGTGAGTTAGTGTGCAGGCATTCTTGAAAGCAAGAAGCACGAGCCAAACCTGAGCAATGTCTCTGGGAAGGTGGCCAGGCAGGAGGCCACGTTCAAGCCACAGTCAGGCAGCAGCGAGTGAGTGAAGCAGCAGTGGAACACAGTTGGTCTTGGGCAACGCTTGGGCCACCCTGAGCACAACTTGTAAAGCTGATGCCACTTGAAAGCTGTTCTGATGTGAGAGCCACAGCAGAAGATACGCACTGTGTTCTCATATGCCAGACCACAGCTAAGAATCGCCCAAGCCTAGGTAATCACCCATATCCAGAACAACTGATAAAACCTCAAATAGATATTTGTATATCAATATTCATACAAGTATTTACAAGATGGAAAGGACCCATATGTGTTCTTTGCCATTGAAGGGTAAATAGAAACATGGTGTACTATAGAACATTATTTCGCCTTAATTTTAGAAGAAATGGCATTCTAATATAACATTATAACATGAAGGATCTCAAAGGCATTGTGCTAAGTGAAATGAGCTAGATGTTAAAGGACAAATGTCTGACTCTACCGTATGGGGATCCTACAGCAGTCAAATTCATGGAGTAAAATACAGGATAGAGGCAGGGGACAGGATCGTAAGGACAGAGCTTCAGTTTGGGAAGATCCGAAACTCTGGAGATGCATAGTGATGGTAGACGTACATTCCAACAAGTGTACAAATGCAGCTAAGCTGAAAAGGGCTTAATTGATAGATTTTAGGTTAAGGTGTTTTATCACACACACACACACACACACACACACACACACACACACACACACACACACACACACACGGGAGAAGAACAGCACAGCACAGTGGGAAGGGGGAATTATATATTCATGAGAGTCAGAGATCTTCAAAAAAATAGACAGTTGATGAAAAAGAAATTTCAACAGATAGGTTGAATAGAAAATAAAATACAACGGAAAGAAAATTAAAATAATGAGCTAAGAGATTCCCTGATAGTACAATCAACACAAAGAGATAAATATTAAGTATGAGAGTCATGCTAAGAGAAAGAGCCGATACCTTCAGGAATTACAGTCTGTTGTTACTCTTCTGAGACAGCGTCTCCCTGTGCAGCCCTGGCACTCCATGTGAGCAGACCAGGCTAGCCTCAAATCCGTGCTGAACCTACTGCCTTTGCCTCTGAGTGCTGGGGTGACAGGTGTGTGCCCAACCCAACGTTCACGTTTTGAACACGTGTTCCAAGAAAGAGCATGGTGACTCCTACGTGTAATCTCAGAACTCAGGAGGCTGTGAGGCAGGAGGATTGCTGAGTGTTTGAAGCCATAATGGGTCTATAGAGTGGGTGGGATGGGGCTACAGAATGAGCTCTTATCTCAAAAACATGAAGAAGAGAGGAAAGGGGGAGGAAAGTGAGGAAGGGAAGAAAGAAAGTACTGTGCTGCTAGAATGAAAGGAAGCTCAGCAGGGAGGGAGGGAGGGAGAGCTAATAATTTAATGGCTTTACAGAATAACTTAGGGTAACAGTGTTCTTTCCTTGAATCCTGAGGTGAATTAAATGGGCGTGGGGGTGGAAGTCATCTCTAAACTCACTGAATAAAATCAAAGATCTTATCAGCTCCAAAGAACACAGGTAATCACCAAAGGAGACTCAGATGATACCAGAGTTCTCATCAGCAACAGTAGATTCAGTATCTGATGCAGTATTTTTTTTTTTTTTTTTTTTTTTTTTTTTTTTTTGGTTTTTTCGAGACAGGGTTTCTCTGTGTAGCTTTGCGCCTTTTCCTGGAACTCACTTGGTAGCCCAGGCTGGCCTCGAACTCACAGAGATCCGCCTGGCTCTGCCTCCCGAGTGCTGGGATTAAAGGCGTGCGCCACCACCGCCCGGCCTGATGCAGTATTTTTAACAAGTATTGAGAATCTTCAGGACAGAATCCTATTTCGTAGGTTTTGTAGGGGGACAGTGCGAGTGCATGTATATCTATATATTTTTCAAGTGCCAAGTCCTGTGCTGAGTGCCATGTATAAATATTACTGTGCCAAGGCCTTGCTACCAAAAGGCCACACAGGGATGAGAGAAGTAGAGCCAATCATCATAGAAAACAGCATAATCAAGGTGTGAACTAATGCTACAGGGCTGTCAGCGAAGGAGAGTGTATGCTTGGAGGCATCAGGAGAGACCTCACAGAGGAGGGGAGGCTTGGGTAAGCTGCTGCGCCATCCTGTTTATTACTCAAGCTTTAAGTCTTTCTTTTTCCTTCTGTTAGTTAAGATGGCCTTGGTGCTATATAATATGTAAGGAGTTATTACAGCAGAGACCCCTTCATGCATGCACACAGCTTTGGGGGGGGGGAATTCTGTCACAAGGAAAGCATTTTAAATGCGACCATTTGGAAGTGCCTATTCTCCCAATATTGGACTCCGCCAGATTCTAGCGGGTTCCCAGACCAGCACCTTCTCACAACTTAGCAGACAAGCTCCTGGGAAGTGCCGGCAGCCACACTGGCTTGGAAACTCTGGGAATCCAGCTGAACAAACCTTCAGACAAGCAGTTATGACACTCACCAGCAAGACTGACAGGGGAGAGAACCAGCAGCATCTTTGCTCACTGACAGCAAGACAGGGGCACGTGTAGGCGCCGTTCACAGCTCTCCAGAACTCAGGGCTTCTTCCTAGATTGGAGTATTATTATACCACCATCCCTGGGTCTCCTGCTTCGCAAAGGAAGCAGAGGGGCAATGAGCTACCAAGAGTCACTTCCCTGAACCAAGCCCCTGACAATTCCACCAATTCCACCATCACCAAAGCAAGCCCAGAGTCACGGCCATCCTGTCTTCTAAAACACATGGACAAGTTTTGCATACCAAACAGTGTGGTGAGGGTGAGAAACTTCTCCCAGCTCTGCACATCAGTCCAAGGGGTGGTTGGGAAACAGGAGGGTGTGAGGCGTGTGCAGGGAAGCCTAATAGGATCATCTCAGAGTCATCCTGCTAGTGAGTCTGCCTGACTTTCTTTGTAGCAATTTGGAGGCCTCAAGGTAGGGCAGGTGTGACGATCACCAAGGCCACAGAAATATCATAAAAGTGTTGAGAGATTTCTGTGCAACATGCTGCAGGTCATAAAAGTACCTCCTTAGAAATACAGATGTGAAACAGGCTCTCTTCGGGCGACTGTAAGCTTTGAAGATTCTGGCACATTCCAGCTTTGTTCTCAGGCATCTCCAGAGGGCATTAAAAATGTCATCCTACATAAAAGTATCTATACTAGTACCACTTTTGAAATACCCCATGGATCAAATCTGGATCCATAGACTGGATCTTGATGTGCAATGGGTCATGGTCTTAGAAGAAACACACACATAATTTCTAAGAAGCTGCATGGTTTTATGTATATGCTATAAATGTATTATTGTAGAGTTCTTAACTTTCGTGCATGCTTTCATTGAATAATATTGTAACTTAAAAAATGATTATACAAATCTAATGAAACATTCCCATCATGTTCTTTAAAAAAAGTTAACTCAGTATATGATTTTAATGTCTAGTTAATGTCGTTAAATTGCTTTCACATTCCATCTACTTTCCAAAAAACTAAAACCAAAAAATTACATTTATTTTTGTATGTGTGAGTATGTATGTGTGCACTTGTGCATGTTGAGTATGTGTGTGTGCACTTGTGAATGTGTAAGTGTGTGTGTGTGCACATGTGCAAGTGTGAGTATGTATGTATTGGTGCACTTGTGGATATGTGTGTGTGCACATGTGCATGTGTGAGTATGTGTGTGTGCACTTGTGAATGTGTGTGTGCACATGTGCATGTATGAGTGTGTGTGCGCACTTGTGGATGTGTAAATGTGTGTGCACTTGTGCATGTATGAGTATGTGTGTGTGCACTTGTGAATATGTGTGTGTGTGCACATGTGCATGTGTGAATATGTATGCATGCACTTGTGGAGGTCAGAGGGAAACTTGTGGTAGCTGATTCTCTCCTCCTACCACGTGAGTTTCAGGGACTGAACTCAGGCCATCAAGTTTAGTCACAAGTGCCTTTCCCACTGAGCCATCTTGCCAGATTCAACCCAAATTTTCTTTGAAGGAACCCAAAGTAGGGTCTGGGAATGTAGCTTAGTTGATAAAATGCTTGTTTAGCATTCCCAAAGTCTTGGGTTCAATTCCTAGCAATGCTAAACTGTGAATCTCGCTACACCTATGTAATCACAGAACTCAGGAGGTGAGGCCAGATCAGAAGTTCAAGTATCATTGAAGAAATGATGTATCATCGATGAAATGATGTATCATCAGGTTTGACTTAAGAGTCCATGTTAGCCAGATACCGGAGTCTTTCACCAAACCTTTGTCTCCTTTTGAATGGACACTTCTTCGTTTTTCAGCGATGAAAAAGAGAACAGTTATGTCTGTTCTTTGAACACAAAGTATTAGTCAATGGCGTATAACCTTGTGGCAAGGGCTAGGAAACACTCGGCAGCACCCAAAGTGAGTTATGACTCGCCAGGAAAACAGTTTCCCTACTTTGTCTAGCTTCCACGTTCACGCAGACATATATTTTTAAATATGGTATCAAGACTGTGCTATCATTTTTAAACAAGAGGGGAGTGGGGGTGGGGGAGAGAAAAGGATTGGCACAGGTACCTAAAACCGGGCCTGTCAAGGCCAAGGGAGTTTACTAGAGCCTTTGGGCATCTCAAGATAAGAGCTAGTTCTAGAACTCCTCACCAACAGATTTCCACCGGGTAAAACTTAGCTCGCTGCCATCCACCCACCTGGAACTCCGTGGCCTTGCCGCCTCCCTCGCGGTCAGGCAAAGTTCAGAAACTTTAATTCTAGGGGAAGGGGGCTCTCTTGCCTCAAGGGCATGGCAGGTGGTGCCTAATTGATCAGTCTATTTAGCATGACATGGGGCTGCAATTCTTTAATGTCATTTAAAACAAAATGTTAAGCTCAGACTCTGTCTGGGCAGGCCACTGAAGGGCTCTAAAACCCCCATTTATGATGTCACTTTAAGTGTTCCCTCCTTTGGCAATGACAATAAAAGTTAACTATTAAGCTTATGTTTTCAGCTTCCCACCCAGGTTCCCTGCAGCACAAAAGCAGCAAATTCAATCACTGGGAAGTTAGGTTGCCTGATGAAATGGGGGCTCCTCACAAACGGCCCTGGCTGTAGGACATCTGGCCTGCCCAGCTGTACGTTCTCGGCAGCAGTTGAGGATGTCACAAAGATAACTAACCCTTCGACTTTCCAAATAACAAAAGCCCACTTATGCTAAGGCCGACTAAGCCCAGTGGTGGGCACTAGTGACTCATTTACAGTGAATCCTCTCCATCACAGCTCCTTCCTCCTCACTGAAGGGACAGAAATAGGAGAAATGAATCAGGACAGAAAAAAGACTGTTTCCCACGTGCTTTGATTTCACTTTATCCATCACATCTTGACTTCGTTCATCCGTCCACTTCATCTTTTATTCATTTGTTCATGCAATCAATACGGGCTCTGTGTTTAGGCTGTGCCCAGCCCTGGAGGTGCAGAAATGAGAACAAAACAAAACAGATATGGCCGCTGCCCTTGGTGGTACTTAGGTCCCAGTGGGTGAGAGTGGACACAGAAGTAAACTGCCAGGTAAATATGTAACTTCAAATGGCCGTAAGAGGTCTGAATGAAATAGCAAGGTGTTAGGAAAAAGTGTAACCTGGAGGCCTGCCCCAGTTGGTGAACAGAGACTGCCTTCCTAAGGAGGTGACATCTGTCACAAAGCTGGCCGGTCGGTCGGTCACAAGGAGCCAGCCATGGAAGAGTCGGGGAGCGGCAACATGGACATCTTGTGTACAGGTTGGAGGCAGAAAGGGCTTGGGGTAGAGAGGACTGGCTGTGGCGTGTGAGTAAGGGGGGTTGTGCCAAGAGAGGAAGTCAACATGTCTTCCTGGGACTAGATTCATCTGTCACCCCGGCCACCTTGGTCAATCTGACGGTGACTGTGGAGCTGTCAGTGCAGTAACTCAAACAGGCAAGGCTTCCGTGTCAGTGGGCACAGTCCTTCAACACAGCTGTCCCCAGGACTGAGGCAGCCATGGATGCATCTGGATAGAGGTACAGGCAGATCCATAGACATAATCTTTCTGTCTCAGTCATGAAGGAGATAAGAAACATTTGTTTAGTGTATCTCAGAAGACAAGTATCAATATCCAAATAAAATCTTTTGCGACTATAGTAATTAAAAATAAGCAAACAAATAAAAATTTATCTGTCCTGCCTGTAGAGATGACTAGGAGTTAAGAACACTGGATGTTCTTGTAGAGGATCTAGGTTTGTTTCCTAGTCCCCCATGTGACATTCTGTGACTCTAGCCCCTGCGCACGAAAATAGCACACATATACACATGCAGGCAAGATATCCACACACAGTTTACACACCTTTTAAAATAAAAACCCAAGCTGGCAGCACAGTAACCACCAGCCACATATCAGCCAGTTCAACAAAGGAACTGAACTTTTCATCACATTTGGTTTTAATAGTTTAAGTTTGAACAGTTGTAGGTGGCTGGTGGCTAGCGTCTAGGGCATCGAGTTCCAGATTCTCCACACACTCACAGGAGCATCTTCCTGAGAAACTGCAAGCAAAGACTTAGGCTAGATTTTCCAGGTTGGGGAAAAGGTTGAGGGATCTCCTCCATCA